GAAACCAGCTTAACGGTTTGTTGGAGATTTAGTGTTTGGATTAGTATACAATATGGAGATTAAGTTTTTAATATCTGGATATCAATAAACAGATTTATTTATATACCTAAATTTAAAAAAAAACAATTAGAACACGCTATCTAATGTACTCAAAACTATAGACTACTGCAAACTATAGACTACTACTTAGAAATTGAAACCCACAGTAAATGTAAATATATTTTATTAATATTTTAGGGAGTAGTTGGGATAAATATGAATAATAACAGATGACATTTTTACACTTTTATTTTATTTTTTACAAAAACAAATTTATTGAAAGGAATTCTTAACAATTCAATAGTGAGTTGCTCCTCTACGTAAGATTTCACATTGTTTAACTCTTCGTGACATGCTGCGAATCAGATGATCGATATCTTCATGCGCTATGTTCTCTCAGGTTAATGTTACCTCATGACGCAGATGTTGTATATCCAGTATACGACCTGGCAACCGACTGAGCCTTATACCTAGCACGTTCCGTAGATGTTCAATAGCAGATAAGTCTGGTGACCCCTCCCCTTGTAGGTCACGGAAGAAGTGTTACAAAGCTTGCCGGAGGAAGTTTCTAGTAACTGAGCGGTATGTAGTCTGGCATGGCATTCCTGAACAATTAAATTTTGCAGTTGCTGAAAGGAGGGCAAAGCGATAGGTTGTAACATGTTACAAATGTAGGAACGTAGCATTAATGTTTCTCTCCAGAAAAACTAGGGTGACATGCTTCCATCAGTTATGCTCCACTCATGTCTGATTGCGGTGCTTGTGCAGAAGCAGTCTATAAAAGTACTCATAAGAGCCTTTATTCGAGATCACTGGTGCTTCTTAAAGCCCCATTGCCTCTACGATGTGTATGGTGACGTTACGTGTAAGTTTGTTTATTTTCTTGAACCTTTTTTGAATATAAATATATTTTTCGTATTTTTGGGATTTTGGATTTTTTATTTGGATTTTTTTTAATTCAAATTAAACCTAGAACCAAAATCCCAAAAATACGAAAAACATAGTTATGTGTATGGTGACATCGTATCACTGATGTAGTATTCCGGCAATCCGGTTACAAATTTCCCGGAAAAACATCCCGATCTCTAGTATAGATACAGGACACGTCTTCTTATAGGACGCATTGCTAAACGATGTTTTCAATACGCCACAGGTAATAAATCTGAATATCTCTAAACAAATTCTCAGACAAGTAATTAAACAAACCCTCTTTTTTAAATTTAAATAAAATCTTATTATTTCTAAACAGCCTGGAATAAAAATGTTATCAAGCATTATAAATAAAGCTAAGCATATATTACATGCATTTCATTGTAATTCATTAGAGTAAGTATATTAACAGTAGAGAAGTTTATTTTTAATATGTAGTTTGGTTAAATAAGAATAAACTTTATATAATAAAAACTTCAGATACGGTCTTATAAAAATTTCATTTATATATTTAACACTTTGTTTTTGTTCTATATTTTCGTTTAATTAAAACACACCCGTAAAAGATTAGCTGGACCTTCTCAAAACAATAGCCCGGGGTTAAAAATTTTGTTTCACTCTCTCTCTTTGTCAGATTTAATTATCTTAATAAATGAGCCCTTATCGGCTTCGCCTTTTGACGCATTTCGTTCCAACACTTAATTAATTAAAGGCATAACCCTTATATAAGCAAAAAATGTCATAAATCTTACTCCATATCCATATTAGGACTCGACTTCTCTATATACAGGGTGAGTCTTAAAAAAGAAGTTCGAATATTTTTATTGGTGGTTTATTTGGACCACAGAAATATGTCTAAGAGTTTTTTTTTCGCGAATTTTGTTTTAAATTTTATATTTTACCTTTTGTTTTTGGAATTCCTAGCTAAAAAACATAGTACCTTGATATTGGGGCAACATAGGGGTAGTAGATAAAAAACTACAAAACAAAAACACAGAAAAAAAACAGTGGCTCTCAAAATATGAGCAAAAAATATAATTTTTTTAAAATTCAAAGTAACTCGGTTATTTCGGAGTTATTTGAAAAACAGTAACATGGAAATATGTTTATTTTATCGAGATATACCAACCCTGAAAATATTTGCACTTATTTAAGACTCACCCTGTGTTTATAAATATATTTGACGGCCTCTTTAAATATTAACAGCATAAAAGGCCCTTTTTAAAGGAGTTTTTTGCCTTGGAAAAATAATGTTATACTAGGGCAATAATTCTCATTAGTATAATTAATTTTCACTTTTATATGTTAACGCCATTATGCGTTTTAGTCTCTCTATTTTGGAAATAATTTTGTTTATCACCAACGTCAATATTCTTTAACTTCCATTATGATATTAAAGAGGATTCTATATACTCAAGGAGTTATCGTTGTATAACATATTGTGCTATAAAATGTATTCAACATATCTTTTAAACCAAGCCTCAAATAAGTAGTACTAAAGGAAATCCCAAAATACTAAAGAATACTTAGTATTAAATTTTGTTAATTTTTCGAGTTTTTTAGCTGAAATGATTCTACTATTCTACAATTCTTTATGTAACAAATCTCAACTTCAATATTCCTTTGTCAACTATAGAAGCTGTGGCCTAGCAAAATAATAAGTGATTTTGAAAATATATAGCTGAAAAGTTTTTTTTTCATAAGTTTAGATATAAATTTCCACCAAACGTATCGGCTAGAACTAATTAAATTATGTAGGTTTAAAATTAAGGTTTATAATTTAATATATTTCAAACAAACATGCAAGAAAAAATATCTGCTGAAATATTTATTTATTAAAAGTTTGTTTAATTACTAGTTTGTTAATATTATGATTAGATTACAATAACAGTTATATAAATTTCACTCTTGTACTTGTTGAATAATAGTCACAGAATGAACATCATAAATAAATGAAATAGACGAAGCAAAAGAACCCCTGCGCAGCGAGCTTTCTCTTTTATCATTTAATAATAATGCATATTCCTTTTTTTATTTACCTCTGAGGAAAGATCGCGACACGGGCCGACTATAAAGAACTAGAACAAGACTTTCTAGAGTAAATATTTTATACGCCAGGATACTTTGCTTATTACCTTCTATTACATCCATCTTCGTCTTCGTGTCCATATTTTATACCCGCATAAAAGCAGAACTTTTTTTTGTGGATTTTTTTCTGGACTATTATTCTGCTGTATGTAACATTTACATTTTGTAAAGTAATTTTTTTAAGTAAAACAATTAATAATTATTGGAATTCTAGAGTAGAGTTTGAGATAAAAGTATTGTATATTCTTTATAGACTAATCAATTTTTCCATAACATATGGAGATATGAGATACAACTTCTTATAAAATATTATTATTGTAACATGATGCAATAGATATTTTATTCAAGCGGATTTTTGAATATGATAATTATACAGTTAGTTATAATACAATATACCATCCGGGACAATTCAACTGCGTGGACTGTATTTGAAAGCATGCGACAGAGATAAATATAAATGACCGGTTGGCAGAGAGAGAGACAAAGTAAAATGCGGCATAATATGTTGCCGGTTTTTACCGGCAAGTAGTAAGATGTATGTAGAAAAAAAATAAACTTGAAAATTTTAAAAAATTTCATGTGTTTTAATGTCTTTATTTCAAACTACTGAAACTACTAAGCTAAATATAATCTATTACAACTGTAGTAAAATGAGTAACTAATTATAAAAATGAAGTTCCAACCATAGATGTCACATTTGCATAAACGCCTAATCGTGCGATTTGAAATTTTGATGCAAAATCCGGTAATACCGCATAGAAGAAATGAGTCAGCCCAACTTTTATCTCTTTTTAAACGGTTTTATTTAGCTCGACCCGTACGGTATTTATTTATTTGTTTATTTATTTGGGTCAAAATTAGAAATTGAAATTTAAGTACCTTCCTGTTGTCAGATTGATCTGAAATTTGGTACAAACCTTTAGTTCCGATGACAATACAATATAGTAATATCAATAACAGTGTAAATCTAAGATGGCCGCCGGTACAAAATGGCGGATTTCATATTTTTCCATATACATATAACTATATATACTCAGTGTTCCCTATTTAACCCCGTGTGCTGTTTCCGTGCCGTAAGAAAAATACAACATAACTCAGCTCCATATTAATGCTGCATAAGTCTATTTCACCCGGATATCGATTGAACTGCGATTGCGCCAAACTCCGATTGACTGTTGTTTTAGTTCTGTTTGGATTACTTTTTATTTGTGCGCGTAAAAGAGTGATTTTGTTTAGTTTATTATTTCCAACTATTTTTTGATATTTTTTGATTCCAACTCCATGATAATGTGTTATAAACAATAAAAATTTAAATAAAATTGAAGGTTAGGTGAAATGTCAGTCAACCACTTCCCTTTAAAAACACGGACCAATAAAAACTTCTTCAGGTAAGGCATGCGCAATTAAGTGACTATCCGGGTGAAATAGACTTATGCAGAATTCCATATTTCTCTTTCACTGTTTGGGCTTCACTTTTTTAGAGATTAGGCTGAGTATATAAAGTTATGTGTATATGTATTTTTCCACAACCCCCTCAATATGGGTATCAAATGAAAGGGCTACACTAGTAGAATACTGTGATTATGACAAGATTTAAAATCCAAGATGGACGTCGTTACAAAATGGCGTATTAGGTGAGGGCATGAGTAGTCGTGTCCAGAACAGTTGTGTCCAAGATTGTGTGACGTTAGAAGGACAGATAAAAAAAATAGGTGATTAGATGTACCTACGTAGTTAGCGGTAGCTTTACCACCCAAGTTAAGGTAATAGGTTAAAACGTGCTGAGGACTGTATGGCATTAGGGTGGCTAAAAATGTAATGTCGCAAGGGTTTTCCCCTCAAGATTGGGCGCCTCTTGTTGTATATTATAGCCTTGCTATACTGGACTTACTGGACCTCTGGGGGTGTCGACCGTTAAAATGTCCATTACTCGTGGGAACAACATGGATGAAATTTCAATGGTATCTTATCAAATGCTGTGTATGATTGACGCACGATTAAGACAACTTAAAAATCATGAAGACGAGTTCTTTGGAGGCATAAACGTTTTACTTTTTGGAGATCTGTTACAACTGCCTCCAATCAAACGCTCCGGAGCTCCTGTTTTCAAACAGCCCGATCATCTCCAACCAGCCACACATCTATGGCGTTTGTTCACGCTCTGTGAGCTGACGGAGAATATGCGTCAGCAAGGGGACCATACTTTTATTGAAATACTAAATGCTTTGAGAATAGGTGAGCTAACCGCTAACCATTTTAGTATTTTGATGCAAAGAGTTATTCAAAACCCAAGTGATGAGTTTGCAACAGACAAAGCGTTAAGGGTATACACTACTAATCAGCAAGTAAACAATCACAACGCTGCTGTTTTAAATCTGTTCCGGAATAAGGGATCTCGAATTTATACCATTAAAGCACAGGACCAATTAATTGACGCCACACGAAATACAGATACTTTAAATTTAGCAAATATAATACCAACAGATATAAATAAGACTGGAGGCTTACCATCAGTACTTGAAATATTTGTAGGAGCAAAATTAATGTTGCGGTCCAACATTGACGTTACAAAAGGATTGGTAAATGGTGCTATAGGCCACATTACAGAAATTGTTTGGCCTCAGTTCCGTCGAACCCAAATGTACGAAACAGATGTAGGTACCATCAGTTTGGATTGACTTTGGCAGAGACGGCATACACGTTATACACCCGAAAGCCATACAGTTTCCAGCAAAATTCAATTATGGTACGGCTGAAAGAAGAATGTTACCCTTAATTTTGTCATGGGCATCCATCGTCCATAAAATGCAGGGCAGCACAGTCGACCATGCAGTAGTGTATTTGGGCTCAAAATTGTTTGAGGAAGGGCAAGCATACGTGGCTCTAAGTCGAGTCAAGTCTCTGGAATGGCTATGTATTGAGGAATTAGATTGTAATAAATTATCAGGTAAAAAACCATGTGATAATGATGCACTAAATGAATTAAATAGAATGAGGAATATTCGGTAGGCATTTCCGTTAAATACTAAAAACTAGAAAATAAAAAATCGGTAAAAAAACTTTTAAGTTAAACGATTTTATCTTATGTGCACTGAAAACTAAAAAATAATAATAACAATTAGGTATTTTGAACTTCTAGTTCAGAAATATTTTAGTACTAGGCAGAATAGCTTTTAGGCATATTAGACTAAAATAAAAACGTGGGGCCCATTAACTATTGCTGTAATACTTTCTTCTATACTAAGTGTGGATTGCACCGACTTACTATAATCGTAACTGGAGATTTTGACAATCAATAACCAGCCGTGGCGGCTTCACCAGTGAACGCCGAGCTCATAATCTACCAAAGTATAAAGATATGCTTTGCCATAGGTAGGATTTCAGAGGGGCCCCACGTTTTTCTTTTAGTCTAATATGCCTAAAAGCTATTCTGCCTAGTACTAAAATATTTCTGAACTAGAAGTTCAAAATACCTAATTGTTATTATTATTTTCTAGTTTTTAGTGCACATAAGATAAAACCGTTTAACTTAAAAGTTTTTTACCGATTTTTTATTAATATATTTGATTTTGCATTAAACTGTCCTACACCTTGGTTGGTTGGCTTTTCCTCTTGTAAAGGCAATCCGGGGACATACTGTATAAATCGTACTTTAATAAATATTTTGTCTAAATTTTTGTAATAACATAATAATAGATTTTTAGTAAGAATAGAAAATATAATATACAGGGTGGTCCGAACTGTATTCCGGAAACTTCGGCAACATATTCTGCAGAGAAAAATTTCGTATAAATATATGTCCTTAAATGCTTACTTTCAGAGATACAGGGTGTAGATGTTTCATTTTTATTTCGATTTTTTCCAAATAATTTCTGAAGTAAAGTCAATATTTGGATGAAAATTGGTGCCTGGGAGTTTTTTAACATGAAAATTTGATTTTGATGTCAATATAACTCCTACTAGTAGAGGCCGCCACCTACATGTGTTTTAACTGTTTTGAAGCGTAATAACTTTTTGTCCAAAAAAGTCCGTAAAGTTTACAATGTTAGCCCGCAGAGTGAACATCTTGGAAACCAGTTTCCCGAGATCACGTGTCATCCAGACCATCCAAATATCTCGAGAAACATTTCTCGTGGCGATTTTTAACAAGAGACTTTTTTTACGTAAAAAACTCTGTACTTAAATGTATCTGTTTTTACTTAGTAGTTTTATACAGGTAGGACGAAAAGTTATTAAACAAGTTAAAAATTTGTAGGTGGCGCCCTCTACAAGTATGAGACATAGTGATATCAAAATAAAATTTCTCATGTCAAATTACTTCCAGACACCAATTTTTATCCAAATATTGATGTTACTTCAGAGATTATTTGGAAAATAATCGAAATAAAAATGTAACTTTTACACCCTGTATCTCCGAAACTAATCATTTTAGGAAATACATTTATACGAACATTTTTACTTATTTTTATTTGCAGAATACGTTGCCGAAGTTTCCGGAATACAGTTCGGACCACCCTGTGTATTGGATCTAAGAATTTAAACTCTTTTATTATTTCAAAACTAAAGCGTTTGTTTTAAATGGAAGAGTTTTTGATACTGATATTTGAAACTGCTATAGCATATTTTTATAACAAAATGTAAAACATACATTTTGATGCAATGTTTTCTATTAGTCAATATTGAATTGCAGTGTTTATTTAATTAAAATTGTATTGTTTGATAAATGGAAAATATTCATGTATACGTTAAACGAATGTAGTATATAAAAATAGCACGTTTTGTCTGTCTCTTGAACATATTTGATATTTTCCTGTTTATAGTATGGATTTTCGTTTTCATACATAACAAATAGACAAAAAATAAGCAGAAAAATAAATTCAAACTTTTTATGGATATACAGGGTATTTAAAAAACATGTGCTATCTCCCGTGGGGAGATTCCTCACGTAAAAATAAAGCCTATTTTTTATATCAACATACATGGATACAATAGCCACAGGGTATTGAAATATTAATCTATACTAATATATAAAATCCTTAAGTGACTGACATACTGATTAATCACGATCCTGCTCAAACCACTCAACGTAAGAATCTCAATTTTGGCATACAGAATGATTCTAGGGTGTATAGGTTCGATAAGAAGGGATTTTTCGAAATTCCAGTTCCAAGAGGGTGAAACCACCCCTCAAATATTACAATATTTTTTATTTAAAAAAAGGTTAAGTTTCCGAAAAGACGCTTAAATACGTATATTTTATTTTGTTTTTTTACATATTTTAAGATTTTTTAAAAATGTATACAGGGTGTTTCGAAAAATCTGGTCATTGATTAATCACGATCCTGCTTAAAGCGCTTTACGTAAAAAGCTGATTTTTGGAAAACAGATTGACTTTAGGGTGTAGAGGTTTGTTAAGAAGGGATTTTTCGAAACTCGAATTCTAAGGGGGTGAAACTATCCCTCAAATATTAAAATATTTTTTATTTAAAAATCGGTGAGTTTTTCGGAAAAACTCTTAAACACGTATATTTTATTTTGTTGTTTTACATATTTTAAGATTTTTTATCAATTTATACAGGGTGTTTCATAAAATATGACCATTGAGTAATCACGATTCTGCTTAAACTGCTTGACGTTTAAAGCTGATTTTTGGTAAACGGATTGACTGTGGGGTGTAGAGGTTCGATACGGAGATGTTTCTCGAATCTCAAATTCCAAGAGGGTGAAAACGCCCCTCAAATATTACAATATTTGTTATTTATAAAACTCAGTATTTCGGGAAAACGCTTGGACAAGCATAATTTATTTGGTTTTTTTACATATTTTGAAATTTTTTAAAAAATCATACAGGGTGTTCCAAAAAGTTGGGCAATTGATTAACCACGATTCTGCTTAAACTGCTTGATGTAAAAAGCTTATTTTTGGCAAACGGATTTTTCGAAAGTCACATTCCAACGAGATGAAACTACCCTTCAAATATTACCAAGTTATACAGTGTGTTTCAAAACAAATGCGAAAAACTTCAGGGGGTGATTCCTTGTTCAAAATAAAGGGTAGTTTGCTTCATAAACGTTGGGTCAAAAGTCAACCATTAGGGAGATGGGAGACCAAAGATGGCGGAAAAATAATGTTTTTATTTTTTATCTTGAAAACGAAAAGAGATAGACTAATAAAATTGTATGGAAGCATTACTGTTATGAAAACACACTTTCTGGTAATTTTTTCACTTTTTTAAAATGAGTGGAAGGGGTTGAAATAAACTACCCCTATCATTCTTGTTAACGAAATTTAAAGAAAAATCTTATCAAACACATGCAAAAAAAATTAATTTGGATAGTTTAGTTTGTTTAGAAACTTTTTTATCTCTTGTATTTTTTGATAAAACTCACCGATTTGAAATTAAAAAATAAAATGTAAAGCATTACATGTCAGGACAAAAAACATTTTCTGATAAAGAATCTAGTGGGCTGCTGTAATTTTTTTAGGAAAAAATCTAGTCGGCCTCTGTTACTTTTTAGGATGTTCCTAATATTATTTTATTTGACATTACTCTACTGCAATACGTTATTATCTAGATGATGATTATTATTATCGTTATTATCACTAGATTCTGAATCTAAAAATGTTTTTTGTCCTGACATGTAATGCTTTACATTTTATTTTTTAATTTCCAATCGGTGAGTTTTATCAAAAAAACACAAGAGGTGAAAAAGTTTCTAAACAAACTAAACTATCCAAATTAAAGCATTTGCATGTGTTTGATAAGATTTTTTCTTTAAATTTCGTTAACAAGAATGATAGAGGGGTTATTTATTTCAACCCATTCCACTCATCTTAAAAAAGTAAAAAAATTACCTGAAAGTGTGTTTTCATAACAGTAATGCTTCCATAAAATTTCATTAGTCTATCTCTTTTCGTTTTCAAGATAAAAAATAAAAACATTATTTTTCCCCCATCTTTGTACCGCGATATCTCCCTAATGGTTGACTTTTGACTCAACGTTTATAAAGCAAACTACTCTTTATTTTGAACAAGGAATCACCCCCTAAAGTTTTTCGCATTTGTTTTGAAACACCCTGTATAATAATATTGCCATATTGTTTTTTTTCATGGTGACATAAATGTGAGAAAATTTTATCCAGTTTGTATGTTAATGGAAATTCTTGCTTTGCTTTATCATCACCATTACAAATGATTAATTCGACGCGAACGAAGTCGCTGGTACACGCTAGTAATTATTATAATTTTCTATCAAGTACTTTTAGTGATTCGAATGAAATTTTAGGGGTAAAAGTTACTATAAGTACCTACATATTTTAATGCTAAAAATGTGTCGATAAATTCTCATCAGGGACGTGTATATGGGATAGGTTATCACTGGAATATTTTTGAGTAAGAAACATGTGCTCATAGGAGTCATATTGACATCAAAATAAAATTTCTCATGTCAAAAAAATCCCAAACACCAATTTTCATCCAAATATTAACGTACGTTTTAAAAGATACATTTATACGATTTTTGTACTTTTTATATCTGCAGAATATGCTGCCGAAGTTTCCGGAATATAGTTCATATCACCCTGTACAGTGGAATAATTAATAGTGTGTATTAACATTAATTAGTAAGTATCAAAAATAGTAAGTATCTTCGTAATTATCAAATTTGTATATGAAATCTTTTGTACTAAGGAATTTAAAACTTAACCACATGTTTATAGCTATAAGACAACATGCTCTCTCTATATTGGCCCAAACTAAGCACTGAAACTAAAATTTGGGCCTAAAATCACCCTGTAAATTCTGTAAATATAATATCAGCATATTTTTTTCGGGTGACTCTAGTTTGTCCTATACATCTAATAAAAAATCTGGTAATCTGTTTTTCTACTGTTTACGCCTTCTTGGAGATTTATTCGCCTTAGAATTATACAAAGTATAGGAATTTTAAGCAAGTTCAGTTATTCCCCGAGTTTATTACGATTATTGCCGAAAAAAAATATATCGGAAAATAATGCCATCACTGCCGTCGAACACCTAACTTTTACCTATCCGAACCAGCACGACCGAGAAATAGGACAATAAAATTTCCATTTTGCCGGAATTTCAGATAGAGCTTCATTGGTATGGTATTATTAAAATCAGGCAATATTTTTCCTATTAAAATAGACAACTCAAACCTATTGAGTAAATATAGACATGTAAAATAATCCCCACTTATTCATTATTCATTGAATATCAAAATTATTTTCTAATGTAACGTCTGATCATTTAATAAAGAAACTGATCGGCAAGAAAATTAATGTGATTGTACAAGGTGTCCGATTTTCGTGTGTTTAAAAGGTAGAGATACAAAGATGCGGTTTTCACATCACTGTGCTAGTTTTGATGAAACTAAAGATGGTACACAGATTTGTCATAGCCCTCTTAGTTCCTGAAAGACAGCACGAAATTGAACAAGTTGCATTTTTCGACCCCCTTCATATCTTGGTTGTCTTATAACTTATCGAAAAGGTGAAAACTGAGCCCAGTAGACATTTTTACGTAGAATCCAGTGGCGTAACTAGTTTTTCGTTGGGAGCTGTAATTCTCAAAATATAACCTAAACCTATGTTTTTTTAATGGGACACCCTGTATGTTATTTTTTTTATTAAAATTGCATTGTCATGGGTTTTCTAAAAAAGTATTATACCCTAGATTTATTTTTATAAGTAAGGTAAAAATATACATTTTCTAACTTTTTAACATAGGTAGCCGGTTTATATAGATAGTTTTAAGAATGATTTATTCAACGTCAAATTTTTTAGCTATTGTCCTTTCCATGCTAGTTTCCGTGTTGTTTTTTGATTCTGTAGGTACTAGACATGGCAGAACAATACAATTTTGATTATTTTGAAAAATATGAGATGAATAGCCAACGACGATTCTGAGGCAGCGGCAGAGCTCTATTTGAACAGGTAGGTTACCAGGTCAAGGTCAGGTAGGTCAAGGGCGCCGAGCGACGGTGACGGTGTGTGTGCTCGGGTGCTTCAGTATACGCGAGAGGAAAACAGTAAACAAGCATCAAGCATCCAAACTTATAGTTTAGCAACTTTAAGTGATACGTATGTCTCATTCGGTTCATTCATGATGCGCATCATACGGTGGTAGTTTTTTGAAGAAATCAATTTCTATAATTGTAAGTTTCCTCGTTCATTCTTAGTTAGTTAAACCAATCTCGTTTTGCATCTTTTAAGACAGCAAGCAAATTGATATGGTAATTATTTCCTTTAAGTAGGCAATCTTTGGTCCATTTTCTTCTATTAACTAACCGTTGTTTTTGGGAAGCCAAAATGTGATGAAGTGAGTGCCGTCACTCTTCTCATTGTAGATAAAACTGTACTATAAAATTGCATGTGTGTACAGGCGACAGGCTATAGCACAGGTAAAACTGAGACAGTCCGCCTGTGGTAAATAATATCTATGGAGGCTTTATAATTGTTTAGGGAATTTATATATTTATATAATAATTATTCTATGTTGGAAGCCAATTTGAAACTACTCTAGAAACGCCAAATAAAATTTTGTCATTCCAAACGAAATCCATCAATTCATACAATATTCTAACTTACTTGGGGTAATTATTATTACAGATTCTGAACAGTCCTAGAACCCTATAGCGCTTGCGCATATAATAAAATTGTTGCATATGTCCTCCTTTGCATAAGTTAAACCATTCTAAGACGGTTTAGAATAGTAATTTGCAATTATCAATCATAGGCACGACTACGACGATGCATGTGCACGTACTTCTGACGCATTGTTAATCAGTTTAGTAATTAAACATATGAAATGTGCTATGTAATTTGGGATAACTCGTTGTGTATGTTTATCTTAAGTTTCTTTTCGAGAATTTTCAGTTTTGATGGATAATTTTTTCGATCGTAACACTAAGCTGCCCAATCCCGAATATTCCTCAAATCACATAGCACGTAGCTCTTCTCAGAATTTTCAGCTTCATTCATTTTGTCTCTCGATATAAAATATAGTATCTCTCTGTTTTACTGCATGATTATTACATGATTGTAATTCTATATTAATATTTTCACAAATGGTATATGTATTTAATATTTTCACAAATTGGTATCTGCACTAAAAAGCTTATTTCTGCATAACTCAAATTATTATACACAATAGAATTGCAAGAATGACATAAATTGATATGATATTCTCCTAATTTTGTTATGTATGTTACATATGTATAAATGTAATAAACACAACAAAAGTAAGAACTAGAACATGTTTGTTACATTTACAGATATCTGATGAGCAGCCACAATGTTTTATAAAAGTCTGCGCCCCTGTAAATTATAATAATATTTAAAACCCAAGATCCAATATGTCATGTTAAAATAAAATTACTTCTTTATAATATACCTATCATATTAGTCATCTATGATTCAAAATAATTAAACGCCTTTTTGCATTCTCTCCCAAATAATCCTTAAATTTTGTATTTGTCAATATAACGTTCATTGTTCTGAGAGCCACTCATCTATAGGTGTTAATTTATAAAATATGTATTATATTTAACACTGTGAGGGATAGCTCGAGTTAATTTACTACCTGGCACATTTTCCGCTGGAAATTAATTGGCCAGGTTATACAGTCCGAAATTATTTTATAACCGGCTACCCCCATCCATTTAATAATTTATATTGTTAGTGTCCAATTGCTATAGTCATTCCATTTACCCATCTCAATTTTATCTGCCCGTGTTTCAAATTTCAAGCGATCGTCATTCGCTTTCAAAATAAATTGTATAAATTTCATCGCACTTTAAATCCGGAAATTTAAAACGTCAAAATTTCAACTGACCTGCAGCACAATGAGGTTGGTCTTATTATTTGCCGCATTTTAGTTTTGTTACTCTGAAAGTTTTTTTTTAAACAACACTGTGTTTATTATAAAGGGTTTTTGACGGAGTATGAGAAACATTAATTAAATATTTTTACAGACAGCGTTTATATGGAGTGTTTTATCAGAATCTACATCAATCTAAATAACCAAGAGTACTCCGGTTATACTGGCGTACTAAAAATTAATGCTCTTTAGGTGGCCTAATTGTTTAGATAGCAATGATTATGTCACACTGAAATACACACTTAAGTATTGTTAGGGGCAACGGCCCAGCTACGTCGAAACACCGGTTCCCGTTAGAACACCGAAGTTAAGCGACGTAAGCGATACAAGTGGATAGACGGGTAACCGGTTCGAAACTCTGTATCGTGCTGTTGTCCAAAGGCAAGAGTGTAGAATCTATTGGCACACACTGCTTATTCACGCCGGTTTGAGGCCGGATGAGATCGGGTATCTCGTGAGTAAGAGTTTCCGACACTCGCCTATAGTCGGTAGGCTATTGACCTGATATGTATTTGCGAATGCGATCGTATTTGAAATTGGCTGAATGTGAATGATATCACTTCTTTACTTGCTAAATTACAAATACTATATATTTGGTGTTTAAACCTTTGGCATTAAAACAGCAATAAAACACTGACTCAAAATAATGCACTAAAATACCTCTAACTAACTGTTTAATACTGGACCCGCGTTTCGCATACCATGTTAGTCTCATCAGCAGATGATTAGGACTAATGAGTTTTAATCTGTAAATTTTAAGAAACTTGTGACCAATGTTAAAGGTAAAGTGTTCTGGTGTATTGTGGTGAATTAGTGTTTTATTTTGCTAAAACTCTAATCATTGCATTAATCAGTGCCGCATCTAGAGATTGAGTCTGGGAGGGATATTGGCATTTATTTTTCATATCTTGTTTATGAGTTCATTGTGCTTTATTACCTCTCCCATATATGCACCCCTAGAATTAATGGTTTTTATGTAGCTCTATTGAAGAAACCAAAATTAAATATTATAAGGGGCACGCCCTACCATCCTTTTCTCGAAGGTATTAGCGGCACTTTTGACCACGCTGTAACTTCGTTGTGGATAAAGCAAGAATATTAATTTTAGCACGATATGATATTCTATTCTAATTAAAAAACTTTATTTTTAAAGGCACTGTTTAGATATACTTAGTAATCGAGATGGTAGATTATTCTTTTATAGTTATGGTGCTGTGCAATTGCCAAATCACTATAATTATTACACAAATAAAGATGACTAATATTGATACAAACAATTTATAACAAAATTGTTGAATAGGGTCTTAAAGAGATACTAAATAAAATAAACTGACTTGGTTTTCCATGAGATCTCACAACTTTTTATAGTGGAAGGATTGCATTGCGAGATATGGCATTTTTTACATTCTATGTTTTTGATGGGATATTTCTATCTGGAAAAATGCTACAAATATATACAGGGTGGGTCAAATTGAATTGGGGAAAATTTTGCAGCATATTCTACAGATAAAAATAAGTAAAATAGTTCGTAGTATGTATATAATAAAATAATATAATATATAATTGTATAATAATATAATAAATATATAATTGTATGTCCTAAAATGCTTAGTTTGGGAGATACAGGATGTAGAAGTTTCATTTTTATATCGATTTTTTCCAGATAATCTCTGAACTGACATCAATATTGGGATGACAATTGGTATCTGGAGGTTTATTGACATGTCAGATAATGACTTACTTGTATAGGGCACCACCTATATATTGTGAGGCTCCCCCGTTTTTAGAGAAAGGTCACGGACGCCGAGTTGCCTTGTTTCGGTTCCTCGGGCGCCACCCCCAAGTTTAAAGTGTTTGAGAGACCACTAGTGCCAATACGGGTAGCTTTTATACAGTGGAGATACCAGGGAGTGATGAGATGAAAAGAAAATAAAACACACAATTAACTATAACGTAACACTAGACTTTTATTTAACTAATTAATTATGTACAAAAATAATCCAGGAAGGTTCACGTCTTCGAATCGTAACAACAGTGAAATAAAATGTATATTTAAAGACCCGTAAAGTAAAATTTACAATAACAACCGTGTACCCCTAGAGTTTTGATCGATTATTCCCGATATGTAACTCTCTAACTAATTCTATTCCGTGAATTAAAAACGCGTTTCCGCAATGACGTTCTATTAAATAAAACGACGCGAGTTCCTAATCGACGTCGAATCTAGCGGCGTCCTAATGAACACAGACACGTAAGTACCGGAGTAACACACTCTACTATGACGCGACTCTCTAAACGGCGGCGACGTCGTTACAGGCGTCCCGATGGTCACAGCTAAATATTTCTCGTAACGGCGTCCGTTTTGACAACGAAACACGGACCTCGGATCGGCGTCGAAGTTAAAAGCGTCCCGGAATACACAAACGCGAGTCCTGGATCGATCGCGAAATTAACAGCGTCCTGTGGGACACAAACGCGAGTCCTGGATCGATCGCGAAGTTAACAGCGTCCCGTGGGATACAAAAACGCGAGTCCTGGATCGATCACGAAGTTAACAGCGTCCTGTGGGATACGCAAACGCGAGTCCTGGATCGACCGCGAAGTTATCAGCGTCCTGTGGGATACGCAAACGTGAGTCCTGGATCGATCGCAAAGTTAACAGCGTCCCGAGGGATACACAAACGCGAGCCCTGGATCGACGTAGACGTTAGCGACGTCTCGGCGAGTTGTACGTCGTTTGGATAAGCGCAGCCCGCACACACACCGTCCGGTCAGGACAACCTCGGGATTTCGGCGAGATCCCGTCCATCGTCACTGATGCAGGGTGTCGTCCGGACGACACACCTAGAAAAATACGGGAGCTACAAAACCAGCCTCGGGATTTGGCAAAGTCCTGTTTTAGCTCCGTGAACATTCGCGACCCGTGCGTTTACTGAACTACCCTGACTGTCCCTTAAGAAGATGAATGAATTATTAGCCCGTAATTAGCTTTCCCCGAGAGGTACACTGAGCCGGAGCAGATGTCAGACAACTTTTAAAAGAAAAGGACATGATTCCTGGCGACCTGCCCGTAGCACAGCGTAGTCCCTTTTTGCCTGCTCGGCAATCCTGGCAATTTTAATATTAATGAAGAAAACCACGAACTCTCGTCTCATCAACCGAAGGACACGTTAGACCGGAGCAGATGTCAGACAACCTTTAAAAGAAAAGGACATGATTCCTGGCGACCTGCCCGTAGCACAACGTAGTCCCTCTTTGCCTGGTCGGCAACGGTTATTCTCCGCTTTTAATATCCTAACAATCCCGTCAACTAACTCCCTTGTCCCTATAACGCGTCCAGGTAGTCGAGTAAACGCTTAATAACAATAAAAATAATACGACCTACCCTCGATCACTTTGGCGGTGGGTGCTTACCTTATACAGTGCGGCGACAGGCGGCTGGCAGCAGGACACTTGGCAGGGCACTCCGGACTCGAACCTCACTGTTTCGCGTGTCACCACAAACTGTCTCTCTAGAGCTGCTAGAAGTGTCTAGCCCTAGCAGTCAACTATTAAGCTTGACCAATCAGGTTGGTTAGCGTGGTTATTTGGAGGGTGTTAATTCATTTGTGTTTGTCAAAAACTCTAACGTGATTGGTCGGACTTAATAGTTGCCTGCTAGGGCTAGACACAAGTGAGCTGCTGTAGCCGAGGTACTCGACTGACGCTCCCCTCCACTCAACCTGCACTGGTAGGGAGAGCGGCGCAAACGTCTCGG